GGGGCAGCGGGCGTGGGGAGGCACTTTTCCTCTGCCCGGCAGCTCTGCGGGACCCCAGTCGGAGCCGGCCCGAGGAGGAGGAGGATCCTAGGACCCAGGTGAGCGAGCCCCGGGAATGCTGCTGCGCATGTGCGGGAGTTGCCTCACCCCAGTTCGTATCTAGGGATCCGACGTAAGTCGGATCCACGTAAGTCGGGGACTGCCTGTATATACCCTGTCACTAGTGGATCCTTGCCCTGGCACAAATTAATCACTGGTTACTATTTATATTCCAACTTGCCAGAGAGGAGGGCATGTGGTCAGCTACACTCACTGCCATGGTTAAACTGTAGCCCAGAACTGTCGCTTTTTAGACAACAAAATCCAGATCCTATAAGTTGCCAAGTATTTCCTTCAACATGGCAAATAACCTTGGTTCCCATGAAGTTATAAGCTGAGCATAATCAGCAACTTACAGCATCAGGAAGGATTTTAAAAGAAACGTGTTTATAGTATGCCATTTTTCCATACAGGTCCTACCGAGCAATATCTTTTCACACCTGCATGGTGCAGTCTTAAAGTCCGCAGTAATATGGAAATCCTGTTGCTGTTAATGAGAATTCTGCACATGCAGAGAGAGCAGAATATTGCAGAACTGAAAAGAGATTTTCCTAGAGTTTGAATCCAAAAGATTGTATTGTTTAAATGTTTATATATTGCAGCTTTTGTAAATTTTCTTTTTATTTTTTCATTTACATTACTTACAATTGGTATTGAGCTGCTAAATCTCTAAATATGATATAAGACCTTCATTTTTTCAGCAGCAATTCAGAGTCAACAAAGAAAGCTAGTTCTTTTTTAATGTAAAACATTTGTCAGATGCCTGTGTAATTCTTCTGATGTGTGATACCTGGAAAAGCGCACACTCGCTTTCTCTCACTCATATGATGATGATGTGTGTGTGTGTGTGTGTGTGTGTGTGTGTGTATATTAACAGTGATAAGTGTTATATATAAAGAAAGATATGGCAGGTGTTATATGCTGAATATGTGTGAGCATTAGGCCAGGTTCTATTTTCAATTAGAATGATTCTGGATTTACAATTCCATTGATTTCAGTGGATTTATTCCAGTGCTACACTATTGTGACACAGAGCGGAATTTGTCCAATATTTTTCTCCTTTTTAAACATTTTTATTTTTCGGATGGTGCTCTAGGGGTAACAGAGATAGCACAGGGAAGGCATCTGGCAGCCGGCAAAGCAGTACAGAAAACGAAATGAAATGGACAGACCACCAGAGGCCATGGAGCAGCACGGACTCAGACAGTTCCAATCGCAATTTGAAGCCAGCCATAACAAAGACAGCAAGTTTTGGTGGAATAACTGTTTTGACAAGAGGAGATAGCTCATCAAGTAACAGGAGTACCGGCAAACTGTCTAAAACAGGTAGTTACTACTGTGCTTTTGTGTCTGCCAAGAAAAATGAGTATGATTGTGTTTCTCTGCAGCCATTCTGTATTAAGAATTGCAAGTGGAGTATGTACTTACGCTATTGCTCCATATGTGTGCATGTCTGAATATTGTAACTGGGTTGACAGTGTTTAATTTTAAAATGTGAATAACAAATCCTGATTTTTGGGGGTGAGAAATTTATGCAAAGTGGATTTGTGTATTCATTGTTTTTCATGACAACACTTTTTTTGTTTTTTTTTCTTGAATGTTGTATGCAATTGCATGATGGTGGCTGCGAAGATTGTTTTTTCTGACAAAACACTTTTTTTTTATTGCACAGAGAATTGAATGATGTAAAATTTGTCTCCCCTCAAAAATCCAAAGTCCCTTTTTCTGAAACGCAGACTTCTGAAGTGGCCATCTGCCTCTCACAGCGGAGCTTCTGCAGATAGTCAGTTGCCAGTCTGCCTTGCTAAGGTTGAATCAAACAGTGTAAAGGAAGCTAATGCAAATTTTGGATTCTGAAGTCTTTCCATTTTATATTGTAGCTCCAATTAAATGAAATGGCAGTTTGTGTTTTTGTGTTTACCGTTCATGGATACAAGGGAGAATCCTGGTGCACTGATCTATATGACTCCTAACCCTGCCATTTAACTCTTTTATGTGCTTTATATTTTTGTATAATTGTGTAAAATAAATAATGAGCCCATCAGATTCCTTCCTCAGTTTTGGTCATTTTGATAAATACAGTACAATCCCAATGATAATCAATACTTAGCTCTTAGTGCTTTTTAGCTTCAAAGTACTTGTCAGACATTAAGTTAATTAACCCCAATTCATCAAACCTCAGTTAGCCAAATACCATTTATCTCCCCTGAGGTTGTGCCATATTATTTGCAGCACTTCAAGCTTTGTGTTCAGGAGCACAGTGAAGATCTGTCAAAAAGCTGAGCTGAGCATTGGACATTTTAACATTTTTCAAGTCCAAGTGTACCAAAGAGTTTTGGCCATGTCTGCATACTTGCCCATTTTCAAAAAACATCACTAGCTCTTTTATAACTTGCTGGTCACGAAGCTGAATGGGAGCCTGAAACAAACTTTTATAAGGTCCTAGTTTCCGATGTCTTTTAAAGCCTGTGGTAGGTGAAGGCTATAGGGTTGTTTGTTTGTTTGTTTGTTTGCTTGTTTTTGTTTTTATGAGCCAAATCCTGAGCTCTTTGTTCAGTTTTTTTCTGTCCTCATCTAGGTGAAATCCCACTGAATTAAGAATTTAATGTAATCTGTGTTAAGACCTCAGAATCTGGCCCAATATAGTCATGCATGTCTAGATTGTATCTGGCTTTATATAGTCATGTAGTTAGCATCTATGGTAGTTATATGACTTCAGTAGTACTTAAATGACTTTGAAAATACTCCCCACATTCTCAGTCTGTATGAATGATAAGTGCATTGAACAGTGCTACACACAATATGTTTGAGCCTGATTCTCAGCTGGTAAGAATTGTCATAGATCCAAGGCTTCAGTAGATTTTTGCATTTTATTCGAATTGAGCCCAATATGCATAAGTTAATGGAAAGGCATAACAGCTCAGTATAATCTGTAGTGCAGTTTTTTATTGACTGCATTTCTCCTCAGCAGACACTGCAGAGACACAAACCACTTGAACAATCAGGGAAATTCAATCTTGTGCATTTGGACGCATGTGACCTACAAAAGATTTAACAATTTAAATTGTTTTTATAGTGCTGAAATCAATCATATCAAATGATGCACTTTACAAAAACAAAATCCCTTAAGAATTCTAATAATTTCAGATATATCTGCACTATATACTCACTAACTCCCCACTTTTCAAAGGACAGTGCTTCTAATGTATTAAAAACCACTATAGTAATGTTAAAATACTATGTTCTTTGCCAAGTGATTAGGTATTGTAACTGCTTTGGAGGTGTTGAGGTTTTAAAAAAAAAATTAAGTGTTTCAATTTGAAAGCTTGTCAAGCCACAGGAAAGGGAAAAGAAACTACATAAAAAGGGGAGGGAAGAAAAGAGCAATACTGGATGTCAAAACAGACTCACACTTTCAAAACTAGGATATAAAGTGAAGCTGTCAGTCACCCTGGAGGTGTCAGGGGAAAGAGGG